CAGCAGATCGCCGTGACAGGACTCAATCCTACCCGCGCATAGGAGCACAAGGTCCGTGCCGTCTCGAACCTTCTGTGCCAGTTCGCGAAGCGCCGCCGACCGTGTCCTCCAGAGTCGATCTGCCTTGTCGTCCAGGAACGCGTCGGCGGTTTCAAGGACCCGACCCTCGCTGGAGCGCATCTCCCTCGCCGGCGTGGCCCAGTCGACTCCGTGCCGCGTCGCGGCAGCGCGCGCCGAGGCAGCATCTCCCCGGCCCTCCCCCCACATCGCATACGCCGCCCGGAGTGCCTCCGTGGCGCAGGTGCACCCTCCATGGTGCCCCCTGCGATCGAAGCACGTGCGCTCCCTGGCCCTCCCAGTCGTGAAGGGCGTCGCGAGCTCGGGGTGCCTGCCGGATCTACTGAGATCCACCCGAAGGTGCCCTGCGGGAGACCTGCTGTGTGCGCCCGTCCACTCGGCGGGGTGGCAGCTGCCTCTGGAAGGCACCGAGATGTACCTTTTTGCGCAAATGGTCAAATCAAGGTTTTGTAACGCGACTGTGCCACAGACCACAGTGAAATGGAACTAGCCACAACAACGAGAGAGACTGTGAGACGAGACACAGTCCGCACACACACCACCAGCAGCACCCCGCGGACCGAGGGCGGTGCTGGTGCTGGTGATGATGTGTGGGATGGGGCGATCTCGAGCCTGGTCACGCTGCCTTGCGCGCCCCCTCCCAGTCCCGGATCATCCGGCGCAGCATGTGACTAGGGACCAGGATGCTGTGCTCGAGCTCGCCGCCCGTCAGCGGGCTGGTCGACTTGGTCGCGAGCCAGCGCTCGATCGCCGTCCGCTCGTAAGCATGCCCGTCCGCCGCCATCACCGGGTCGCTCATCACCTCGGTCGTGATCGGGCAGACGAAGTCGTCCGGCGGCTCCTCCTCCTCCACCGAAGGCGGCCTCTCTGCAGCCAAAGAGGACGACGCTTGCTCGTCGGGCGCCTGCCTCTCCTCCTCCAGCCTCGCGCTCTCCTCGAGCGCCGCCGCCAACTCCGCCTCCTCCCCCGCCGCCAGCGCTGCCTCATCCTCGGGCTCCCGCGACGGCCCAGCGCCTCCACCTCCGCCCTTCCCCTTCTTCTTCTTCTTCTTGCCCTTCTTGCTCTCCTTCTCGCGCCCCCCCGCCTCCTTCTCCGCCTCCTCCTCCGCCAGCAGCGCCTCGGCATGCCGCGTCGCCTCCGCCTCCGCCTCCGCCGCCACATGCTCCTCGAGGGCGCGCACGCACTCGGCGTGGCCCTTCTCCTTGGCCATCTGCAGCGCCGTCCTGCCGCTCTCGGAGCGCAGCGCCGTGTCTGCGCCCGCCCGCAGCAGGCGCCGCACGACGGCGGGGCGGTTCAAGAAGGTGGCGTCCATCAGCGCGGTGATGCCTGTGCCGTTCTGCAGGTTGATCTCCGCGCCGCGCTGCAGCAGCAGCTCGACCAGCCTCTCGTGGCCTTGGCTGGCGGCGCCCATCAGCGCGGTGTAGCCTTTGCTGCTCTGCAGGTTGATCTCCGCCCCGCGCTGCAGCAGCAGCTCGACCACCCGCTTGTGGCCCTCCTGGGCGGCGATCAGCAGCGCGGTGAAGCCTTTGGTGCTCTGCAGGTTGATCTCCGCGCCGCGCTGCAGCAGCAGCTCGACCACCCGCTCGTGGCCTTGCTCGGCGGCGATCATCAGCGCGGTGCCGCCTTTGCTGTCCTGCAGATTGATCTCCGCGCCGCGCTGCAGCAGCAGCTCGACCACTCGCTCGTGGCCTTGGCCGGCGGCGCGCATCAGCGCGTTGAAGCCATTGCTGTCCTGCAGGTTGATACCCGCGCCTCTCTGCAGCAGCAGCTCGACCACCCGCTCGTGGCCGTTGCGGGCGGCGCCAATCAGCGCTGTGATGCCGCTCACATCGCCCATCCCGCAAGTCGCGTTGACCTGCCCGCCGCTGTCGAGCCACGCCAGCAACGCCGCCTCGTCGCCGTCAATAGCTGCTGTCACGGCCGAAAGAAGCTCGCGCCGGCCTGCAGCCACCTCCGGGACGTGCTGCCGGAAGGGCTCCGACGCACGCGCGGTGGCCGTTCTGCCTGGGCCCACTGCAGCGCGGACCTGCCGCTTTCAGAGCGCAACTTTGGATCCGCGCCCGCCCGCAGCAGGCGGAGGACGACGGCGGGGCGGTCGTTGCAAGCGGCGTCCATCAGCGCGGTGCCGCCTCGGCTGCCCTGCTTGTTGATCTCCGCACCGCGCTGCATCAGCAGCTCGACCACCCGCTCATGGCCTTGGCTGGCGGCTTTCATCAGCGCAGTGCCGCCTTTGCCGTTCTGCTTGTTGACCTCCGCGCCGCGCTGCAGCAGCAGCTCGACCACCCGCTCGTGGCCGCGAGCGGCGGCTAGCATCAGCGCGGTGTCGCCGTTGCTGTTCTGCTTGTCGACCTCCGCGCCGCGCTGCAGCAGCAGCTCGACCACCCGCTCGTGGCCCTCCTGGGCGGCGAGCATCAGCGCGGTCATGCCGCTCGCATCGCGACGAGACGCGTAGCGATACACATTTCCTTCCCCGCAAGTCGCGTTCACCCTCCCGCCGCTGTCGAGCCACGCCAGCAGCGCCGTCTCGTCGCCTCGCGCAGCCGCTCCCCCCGCCTCGTTGGGAAGGCGCGCCAGTAGGCCGGAAGAGGCCGCCTCGCCCGAGGAGGCGCCGCCCGCCTCCACCATCAGGGTACGCGCCCGCCTGTTTTTCTTTTTCTCCAATCTTCTCCCCTTAGAAGAAAGACTGCGCTAACCGGAGCCAAAAAGAAACCGCGAGGGCGCCGTGGCAAAATTCTTTTTCACTATGGGCGCGCCAAGCGAGAGCGCCAATGCCGTGCTCGAGAGATTGGTCCTATTGGGAAAGCGGAGTGCATTGATCGGTTCAGAACCGCCGGGATGTAACGCTCCTGAGGGTCTCAGCACGGCGTTGTGGCCCCTCGCAGTGCCGGGACACGCGGAGCTGCGGCTGCAGAGGCGCGCGACGGGGACCGAGGGCCCCCACGAGGACGATGGTGACCTCGGCAGCCTCAGGGACGGCACCGGCTATGATCCGGGCCCGCGCCCAGCATGCGCGATGCGCGTGTGCGCCTTTTTGGCGAATGCTCCCAGCTCAAACGAGCCGCTGCGCCTGCTCGAGCTCGGCGCAGGAATCGGCACCTGCGGTCTCTTCTTTGCGAGCCGGATCGACGGGCGGGCGAGCGTCGTGCTCTCTGACTGCGACCCAGAGGCACTCCGGCTCGCGCGCCTCAACGCGGCCTCGCTGGACGCCCGCGATGCGAGCCGGGTGGCGGTCCGGCGGTATGTCTGGGGGCATCCCCTCGACTCGGGGTTCGATGTCGTCCTCAGCAGCGACTCGGTGTACACGCGGTCGCAGGCGGCGCCCTTTTTCAAGGCTTGCAAGGAGGCCGCCCGGCATGACGACGGACGGGGTCTGGGCGCCGTCGTCATCATGTCCCACTGCGTGCGTCGGCCGACGGTCTTCGGCGACGCATCCAAGGCCGCCGGCGCACACGGCGGCAGGGCGCAGAAGCGGCGGCGCGTCTTCATCGAGTCTGAGGACGCGGCGCTGCGGGAGTTTCTCCGCCTTTGCGCTGCGGACCGGTCGGTTGCCATCGTAGAGGTGGACGACAGCCACGAGCGCGCTTCGGCCGAGGAGATCCGGCTCTACGTGCTGGCCATCGCGCCGACCGCGCGGCGGCGTGCAGAGCTGCTCGCCCGGTGGGCCGACCCGTCGCGGCTGGCTGGGAGGGGTGGTGGTGGTGCTGGTGGTGTGCGGCGGCCGCGCTCCTCGTGGAGGCCGCGGGTACAGATCGGCGAGGTGTACACGGCCGACACGCGACAGCGACGATGAGGCGGACCAGGCTGCCCCGCTAAGACTATGTGTGTAGGAAGGTGAAGAAGGAGAAGAAACAGTCAGGCTCGGACTGGACACCGCGCGGTATTTACGGTAGATGCAAAAAACGAAAAAAGAAGAGGGCGGGGATGGGAGTTCTCTCCGGGTTCTGAACGATGCGGCTTGGTTTTCTTCTTGTTCGCCTCTCCTTCAGCTCCGAATGCTGCGCCGGCTACCTCGGCCCATGCTGCTGCCCGCGAGGCGGATGCTGTGCGACACCGCGGGCCCCAGCCAGATCGAGGAGTTCCTTCGGCGCGCCTCGCGGCCCAAGATGGGCAAGGCAAAGGCGAAGCAGTCGGCAGGGCAGCGCGCAATCGACCTTACCAAGCACCTGTCCAAGTTTGAGGACATGAGCTACGAGCAGCTGCTGCAGGTGGCGTGCGCACATTGAAATTGCGCTGTCGGGAGGAGGGACTTCTTGGCTCCCCGCACCGCGCAGCCCAGCGAGGGCGGCGCTCGGCCAAGCCACCCGCGCGCGGTACTCGCCGCTGCACGAGAAACCCCTGCGCGCGCCCGCCACCGCAGGCGCGCAAGGTCGACCTCGATCCTCTGGGGCTGCCGTGCCAGGACAGGAAGCGGCTGCTGCGCTTTGTGGACAAGGCGCGACAGGGATGGTTGCACGACGGCAGGGAGGGAGGCAAGCAGTGGAAGGGGTGGGTGCCCCCGGAGCACGCCCGGTCGAGCAGCTGAGAGACTGCGCAGTAGGGTAGTAGTGTTGGAGCGTGAGTATGTGGGCGGCCCCAAAGCCATTTCGCGTGTGCGTGGGCGGCGCGCTCAGAGAGAGAGAGAGAGAGAGAGAGCACCCTCAGAGCAGAGAGTCGAGTGTTCTTCGCGCTTCGGTCGCTGGTCGGTCTCGCTTGTGTCTCGCCGTCTCTTGAGCGTGGAACTGGATATGCGCATGAGGCATGCATGCTATCATGAATAAAAGGTGCCCCACATCCCCTACTTTATGTAGGGGGCGTCAGAGGCTAAACCCGACCGAGGCCGGAGGCTCATCCCCGCCGCCGGCGAGGTCGAGTGACGACCCGAGCGCAAAGAGCGAGGCGTGCGATGCGACGCCGACCATCTTGCGCGGCGTGCTGCTCGCCGCGTCGGCGGGCTGCTCCTTGGCGCGGCCGCGGCCGCTGTATGCGTCGAGTGAGATGTACGACGGCATCCGCCCTCCTTGCATGGGGCCCGCGCCGCCGCCGCCGAGGGAGACGACGTCTGCGTTGGAGTTGGCGCGCGAGGGCCTGCTGTTCCCCATCTCTGCGAGCTGGGCCGACGAGCCGCCGTACGAGGAGCGCGAGTGCTGGCGCATCAGCTTCCCGTGGACGACGCACTGCAGCTCGGCCGCCACCGCGTCGAGAGTGTACTCGATGTCGGTGAGAGAGCGGATGAGCTCGAGGTGAGGCCAGGTGGCTCGCTCGCCGTCGAGGATGTACGCCTAGAAGAGAAGAAGTGTCGGCTCGCGATATATTTCTTTTTTAGGTGCTCGCTCGCCGTCGAGGATGTACGCCTAGTGTCGGTCATGGTTGAGTGAGGACACCGTTGCGTCCTCGAGATAGGGGGAGATAGGGGGAGATATGGGGAGATGGTCGAGTGAGGACACCGTTGCGTCCTGTGAACGGCGCCTCGGCGCGCCGAGGTGGGAAGTGAGGAGGTGAGACCCAGTCATGACTAACAGCTTGCATGCGCCTCGACGCGCGAGACGGTAAAGTTGGAGAGGAAGGACAGGAGCTCGAGGACGGACCAGCGCGGGTAGATAGTGACGGTGCCCTCGTACTCCTGCAGGAACATGTCGGCGACCTACGTCTGGGGCGATCTCGGGTGATCTCGGGCGATCTCGCTCCGTGCACTCGGGAGCATGTCGGCGGCCCGGAAGCCGAAGGGCCGGATGAGGTGGCCGGAGGCGAACTGGCTTAGGCCGGACAGGGCGCCGAGCAGCTGGTGCTTGAGGCAGAGGAGTGTTTCGGTGACGAGGGGCGGCGCGGGGGCGGGCACGACGAGCGGGGCGACGGGGTTGACTTGCGAGACGATGAACTGGTTGACCTGGGGGGGGGGGGGGGGCAAACAAGGCGTGCGGCCGTCACGAAAGAAACGTGCGGAAAGCGACACGACCCCCCTGGCTTCACGTTGAAAAGCTCGGTCAGCCCCTGCTTGGGGAGGTCGGCCTGCAAGCCGCCGTCCGTCCACCTGCTCACGGAACGTGGCGTGAAAAGGCCCCTTCTTGGAGCCTTCCTGGAGCCTTTCTGTCGTGCCTGCTCACGGCACGTGGCGTGAAGAGGCGCCACCTTCCAGGTCAGCTGGCTGCCCGCCCCGCCATCCAGCCACCGGTGTCCGCCCGTCTTGAAGTACGGGACGAGGGCGCCGTGGCGGTCCTTTGCCATCAGCTCGACCGCGTCGTACACGCCGGGGATGGAGCACGACGCGAGCGACGCCGAGTAGACGACCTGTACGACGCGCTCAGAGTTGGTAGGAGAAGACATGGTGCAGCGAGGCCAGAGAGTGTAGCGGACCATCTGCGGCGTCGTGAGGTAGTTGCAGAGCAGCGGCGGCGCGCGTCCATCCGAGCGCGTGACGACGATGTTCAGCACCTGTTCACAGCAGGAGGTGTGAAGAGACGCTGTTCACAGGTCCATCCGAGCGCGTGACGACGATGTTCAGCACCTGTTCACAGCAGGAGGTGTGAAGAGACGCTGTTCACAGGTCCATCCGAGCGCGTGACGACGATGTTCAGCACCTGTTCACAGCAGGAGGTGTGAAGAGACGCTGTTCACAGGTCCATCCGAGCGTGTGACGACGATGTTCAGCACCTGTTCACAGCAGGAGGTGTGAAGAGACGCTGTTCACAGGTCCATCCGAGCGCGTGACGACGATGTTCAGCACCTGTTCACAGCAGGAGGTGTGAAGAGACGCTGTTCACAGGTCCATCCGAGCGCGTGACGACGATGTTCAGCACCTGTTCACAGCAGGAGGTGTGAAGAGACGCTGTTCACAGGTCCATCCGAGCGCGTGACGACGATGTTCAGCACCTGTTCACAGCAGGAGGTGTGAAGAGACGCTGTTCACAGGTCCATCCGAGCGCGTGACGACGATGTTCAGCACCTGTTCACAGCAGGAGGTGTGAAGAGACGCTGTTCACAGGTCCATCCGAGCGCGTGACGACGATGTTCAGCACCTGTTCACAGCAGGAGGTGTGAAGAGACGCTGTTCACAGGTCCATCCGAGCGCGTGACGACGATGTTCAGCACCTGTTCACAGCAGGAGGTGTGAAGAGACGCTGTTCACAGGTCCATCCGAGCGCGTGACGACGATGTTCAGCACCTGTTCACAGCAGGAGGTGTGAAGAGACGCTGTTCACAGGTCCATCCGAGCGTGTGACGACGATGTTCAGCACCTGTTCACAGCAGGAGGTGTGAAGAGACGCTGTTCACAGGTCCATCCGAGCGCGTGACGACGATGTTCAGCACCTGTTCACAGCAGGAGGTGTGAAGAGACGCTGTTCACAGGTCCATCCGAGCGCGTGACGATGATGTTCAGCACCTGTTCACAGCAGGAGGTGTGAAGAGACGCTGTTCACAGGTCCATCCGAGCGCGTGACGACGATGTTCAGCACCTGTTCACAGCAGGAGGTGTGAAGAGACGCTGTTCACAGGTCCATCCGAGCGCGTGACGACGATGTTCAGCACCCGGCCGGTGCGGTCGAACGCCTCGAGGAAAGTCAAGTCGCCGCACAAGTGACGCAGCGCGTCGCGCAGCACGCCCTGGTCCATCATCACCTTTCCCTGTGCCACATTCTTCAACGGCCTCGCCGCCTCGCGCAGCAAACTCGACGCGCGCGCCGCCGCCTCCCGCGCCGCCGCCGCCGCCGCCTCCGGACCGGCGGCCGGCACCGGCGGCTTCAAGGCCGCAACCTCAGCGCCACTGGCGGAGGAGGCAGCGGCGGTGGTGGCGGCGCCCGCCGCCGCCGCGCCCGCGCACGCGTTTGCGCTGCTGTTGCGGCTGCGGCGAGCGAGGTCGGCGAGGCTTCCGTCGCGGAGAAGCGAGTCGAGGCTCGCCTCGGAGGCGCCTCGCTGCACGCCGAAGAAGGGGAGGGAGGAGAGGAGGGCGACGATGTGCTGCGTCGGGTCCTCAAAGAGCATCTCCTGCTCATTCATAGCCGATTGATCAGTGAGTAATTAAATAATTGGGTCCTCAAGCAGCATCTCCTGCAGCTCTTCGTCCGTCTTTGTGCCGCAATACGCAGCGACGATCGAGCCGGCCGATGTGCCAGAGAGGATGCGGGGCATCAGGCTCTCTTTGTGCAGCGCCATCACGACGCCGATGTGCTTGACGCCGAACGCGCCGCCGCCCGAGAGTAGCAGGGCGGTGCGGCCTACGCAACAGGAGAGGAGTGAGCCACAGGAGAGGCACGGCCGAGGCCCGGAGGAGGAGGGCGGTGTTGGCCGTAGGAGTGGCGCGTCTCGTTGACGAAGGCGAGGCGCTGCCGTGCGGCGGAGGACGAGGGCGCCGCGCCAGACGCAATGTACCGCAGCGCCTCGCAGACGTGGGCCTGGTAGTGCGCGATGGCCTCGCGGGCGGTCGAGTGCTCGCGAAGCCACTTTGAGCCTTCGCGCGCGTAGCCGCGGTTGCCGAGCTGCTGCCGCATCAGCTCGGAGCGGAGGTGGAACATGAGGCCGTACTCGTCGCCCTCGGCCTGCAGCCTCGCGTAGTTGGCAGCCCGCTCACGCAGCGTCGCAAAGAAGCTCTCCTGCGGGCCCGAGAGCGCGTCGCCGGCCGGCGGAGCGTCCGACTCGACCTCGCGCGCCGCGACGGAGTACTCGTCGTAGTTCCTCGCCTTGGCGAGCCGCTGCCACGCCACGCTCGAGCCGCGCGCCCACAGCTTGCGCGCGTAGTGCACCAGCGACGCAAGCGCCTGCAGAGCGGTGACGAGCGCCAGCCGCTTGAAGTGCGCGCCAGGCGAGAGGGCAGTGAGCACAAATCTGAGGGCCAATTTTGGCAATTTCTTGAGCAGGCGCACGATCAGCTTCAGTAGCTCAGCCGTCAATAGAGGACCGCCGCCGCCACTCAATAGAGTGCTCATGCTAGCGAACAGCACCGACAAAAAGAATTTACCGGCGACAAACACTGGGCACGGGACTGGCGCGCACTGGCACGAACACAGGGACACCACGGGAGCCGCCTAACTCCTGCGAGGACGGCGAGGCACTTAGCTGTGCACTCGAGGGAGGCACTCGACCGCCCCATCCCCCCCCAAATCAAAGAATTTAGGCAAAGAGGGCAGGCACAACACGGATGTCTGCACACTGTGCAGGCTGGCAGCAGACACCGCGCTCACGGCCCACCGGCCCCGCGCGGGAGCGGCACGGTGGGTCGGTGACGGTGTGTCACGGGGAGCGACGTCAAGACACAAGGGCGGGGTTGCGGAAGCGAGCTAGTTTCATGGCCAACGACATACACTGGCAGGGATACTCAATGAAGCACGGCTAACGACGCATCTCAAAGTCACGTGACACGCGGCTATGACGACGCTCCTCTCTCGCTCTATCATGTATCAAGCCCACCTCTGGGCACCCTGAATCCAGACGCTGCTCGCGACTTTGGGCTTTGTTGACGAGCCGCCGTCAACTTGTCGGAGATCAAAGCACACGCGTCCATCCAGCTGCCTCTTCTGCATCGAGTTCTCACGCCTCGTAGCCTCCTCAGCCTCTCTCGCCAACGCCTCTGCTCGGAGCGCTGCTCGGGCAGCGCTCTCGTAGATCACAGCCTCGGCGGAGAGCACAGCCTCAGCGGACACAAAGGGCGAACCTCCGACCATCTTATCGCTCTCATAGCTGTCGCCCAAAGTTGGCTGAGGAAGGGGTGCTCGCACCGGCTGCGGCAACGTCGGCGGCCGACATGATGCTGGTGTCGACGTGAGAAGGAGGGCGAGCGTCTCGCGCTTCTCGCTGTCAGCCAGAGGTCCGATCACAGAAGAGGCGAGCTCCCCGCCCCAGTACATTGCACGGGTCCAACACGGTGGATTTGGTGAGGGCGGTGGCGCACGAGGGGCGTTCGAGGCTCGTACGAGGCTCGTAACACTCTGAGGGTCGTGGAGCGGGGAACAGAGGGTTGTGGGTGCGCCGAGATTGCCCGGGCGGTCAAAAAAGGCTATTTCGGTCCGGTGCTGTCGGAAATCGTAAATAGTAAAGGACTAAGTATGACTTCGCTACAATGTGCGCGCTCCACCTTCCATGACAATGTGCGCGGGACAGACACGGACACAGGAGGAAGGGAGGGTGGCTCCTCTCTCCGTCCGAGAGAGACACGCACACGGGTGAGGGGTGTGGAACACGTTCACACCGGGACGCCTTATCTCTTACACTCCCCCATTGTCTGCAGAGACAACAAAGGTAAGGCGTCGCGCTGATCAGAGGCGCGAGCTAATGAACGAGGCATGTGACCTTCCGTCTCCCGGACTCAAGCAGGGTAGTAACCTATCGGAGCGGTCGACTGTGATGGAGTCGCCCTTGAGCTTGGTCTCAGTGCTGGCCTCAGTGCCGTTGGTCTCAGTCTCATTGCCGGCCTCAGTGCCGAGTGCAAGGTCTCCAGCCTTGCCAGTCACCTTGATGTCCTCGGTTGGCGTCGCTTTGCCGTCCGAGACATCCTTGGTGTTCACCGACCGTATCGAGCGGACGGTGGACTCCACGACGGGCTCGCAGTAGCTCGTCGTGCGCTGGTTGACGGCCGCCGTGCCGTCGTTGACGACCGCAGTGTCGTCGATGATCTCACGCGAAGGAACCATGTCGGAAATCGTAAACAGTAAAGGACTAAGTATGACTTCGCTACAATGTGCGCGCTCCACCTTCCATGACAATGTGCGCGGGACAGACACGGACACAGGAGGAAGGGAGGGTGGCTCCTCTCTCCGTCCGAGAGAGACACGCACACGGGTGAGGGGTGTGGAACACGTTCACACCGGGACGCCTTATCTCTTACAGGTGCCGGTCCTGAGAGAGGTGTCAGCTTAAAGATGCCCTGCAGGCCCCGCTCCAAACAGACCTCGTCGCCCTCTGATTCCATTGGCATCCATGCCTCTCTGGACAGGGTGGCCCGCCACAAGGACCCCAGGAATTGCGACTCGCCGCTTTCCTCCCGCTGTGATTCTGTGCGATTTCTGTGTCTTGTTTTGCCAACACTACACCTACATCTCTGATGGTTTTGTGGCGCTTTGACTGTGTGATGATGATGATATGGTTTGTTGTTTACTGTGTGTGGCCCCGTGCAGGTAGGTGGAGAAAAACAAATGTCTCCACACAAATGTTAACAAATGTGTCTCTCGCTCCAAATGTTTTGGTGATGGCCCCCCTAATATGCCCATGCTGGTTCGCCTGAGACACCCCTCGACTCCCGATCGGACCCCTGATCGCCCGCACGCCAAGGAGGCGGATTCTCCTAGGGAGTGGTATGGTATGAGCAGAGAGTGGTATGGTAAATTACGAAACTCCGTGGAATCATCAAATTTTCGGGATCTGAGCCGAGTCTGAGGCTGGTTTGCGGCCAAATTCAGCCAAATTGGCAAAATACCGGGTATTTTGCGGGTATGTATGTAACTGTAGAGAGGACTCGGTTTAGAGGAGGGCGCGAGTGGGAGAACTTTTCGGCGGTCGTGGAGGGTCGTGGAGTCGTGGAGTGGCGAGTCACGCTCGTGCGGACAGCATCGATGGGAAACCCCGGGTATACCTGGAAAATACCGGGTATTTTGCCGATTTTCCCGATTTTTGTCAGATTTTGCCACCATTTGATTTTTTGGAAGCGGTGCAAACGCTTGTGTGACATGACT